GGGCTTAGACAAGCATTATGCACACCCCTAAATTAACTAATTATATAAAGACAAGATTAGCAACCTACTGTGTGTGTAGCTATATAAAGAGGGCTTACTACTAAGCCTTTATGCGCCCTAGAGCCTTCTGTTAATATAGGCTATGCAACTACTTGCCTACTGCGTGCGTAGCTACATAGAGGAGATAATACAGGCCGCATAATTAGAAACCTACTGCGTGCGTAGCCACACAGAGGAGGCTCCTTATTAGCAGCCCACCTCGCTAACACCTCCCCCTCCTAAGAACAGCCGTACAAACACATAACTAGCACCACCCACCCCCCCTAGACAACAGCTGTACAAATGCAACTAGCCCCCCCCCCCCTCTCCTAACAGCTGTACAAACAAGCAACTAGCCCCCGCCCTAGAGCTAACCTGCTACTCCGCACAACAGCTTGCTCTTTAAGAGCTACTGTACAGTCAACCACCACTACCTAGACAACTGCTGTACAAACGCAACTAGCACCTACCCCCGCCCTTAATTAATTGCCTGCACAAGAGGCAATAACTAACTAACATCTCTTCTCCCTCTTCTACCCCCCTAGGGATTAATTGCTTGCACAGAAGGTAATTAACCTACACCCCCCCCTAAGCTATAGCATCTTTGTACACCTTATATAAAAAATTATTAGGGGTTACATGTATGTCTAAAATAATTCTACGCAGAGAGGTAGATTTAGATCTTCTATATAATAGAATAAATATAAACTCTTTTTTACTAAAATAATAAGCTTTATACATAGTGTACATCCTCTTAGACATGCGTAAGCTGCTAAAAGAAAAGTACTGTCCGTACGCAGCAGCAGCGTCACGGTCTGGATACGAGCGATCGCGCACGAGCAGGACCACGTATCTATGTCACATGATGCTCGTGCGCGAACCTCCGTGCGCGAACATCTAGATATCCCCCTTTTCCTCCGTACGGAGGAAAGACAAGAGCAATAGAACCAGAAACATGTTGCCCTCACCTTACCTACCTCGTACGCTGTGCACACCGTATGTAACGATTCTACGAATCGTTCCATCTCGGGTCGCTCGGATCCTATCCGAAGGGTCCCCGTATCGGCCCCGACCATGACTCGACCCAGTCCCCCGCAGTTACCCCTATTCCCTCATGTATTTAGTCGCACCTCGCCCCTGTAGCTAGCTCGGTAGTTTTCTGATATCCTACGTACAAGGCCTATAGGTGTCATTGGTATTCCCAGGTCTCTGAGTCCCCACGCACTCCCATATGCCTCTGAGTGGATTCATACCGCATTCGGACCCATTGTCTTGCCTGCGCCGTTACACCGTACACCACTCTTACTCTTGCTACTTAAGTGCTCATACCATAAGCAGCTAGCTGTCGGAGCCCATTCAACAAGTACACACTATAAAAGTAAAATAACTTTAAAGAATAAATAACATATAATTTTAATAACTTTTTTTATATAGTTAAGCAAAAACTTTTTTTTACTTTAGCTAAGCATAGGCACTATTTTAAAAGTAAGTTAAATTATATTGTTAGATTGAAGCACTGTTTCTAGGCTTCCTGAGATGAATGATGGGTTTGGATATGATGTATGGGATGATCCATTGATTCTATTGATTTATTGATCCTTTTTCTGCTCTACTCGTGTTGCTCGGCTTTTTGTTTTGCCGATCCGAGTCCCTCGCGCACTTACCCTATGCGCGACCAGCTTGCAACATGCTGCAATTTGCTGCAATTTGCTGCAAAATGCTGCAAAGTGCTGCAAAATGCTGCAAAATGCTGCAAAATGCTG